AACAGCACGGTGGTCACAAGCAGTGTTACAAGCTGTTGAAAACTACGTAAAAGTCCATCCAACGTTTTATTTGGAGGAGCTTCAAGACTTTCTTCGTCATAACTATCCAGACGTGAAGAATATTTCACTGTCTACAATTTGCCGCGCTCTCCATTTTGATTTGGGCCTCACTCGTAAAGTAATCACTCGGGCAGCAAGAGAAAGCGTTCCTCTCGAGGTAAGATTTTCTTTTAAATCTTTACACTGCGTTCATTTACTAAACATGTTTTGTTTGTTTGCTTTGAGTTAATAGGTTGCCAACTACAAAGCAAAACTTCATGAAATTTATTCGAATCCTCAACAGCTAATGTTTATTGATGAGACGTCAAAGGATGGCCGCCATGCTTACCGTCGCTATGGTTGCTCAGCACGCAATACTAAGTGCATTGTTAAGCTTCCATTCTCTCGTGGAAAACGTCGATCGATTTTTGCTGCCGTGGACCATACTGGTTTTGTTGCGTGGGAGACTACTGAAGGAACTTTCACGAGAACATCATTCCACCGTGCTTTTGTGAAGAATGTTCTACCCCTCCTAAATCCGTGGTTATTTGCGAACTCAATCGTTATTCTGGACAATGCTAAAATTCATCTGTACAAGGAATTAGAGACCGTTGTGTTTCAAGCAGGAGCTCGCTTGTTATTTTTTCTACGAAAAACTGATTTTGTGACGCACCCTTGCTTGCTTTGAAGTCAATACGCTCATCATTTAATTGTAGTCCAGTCAATTGTGCTCGCTCTAAGTATCCAAACAGTTTTGTACGAAGAACTTCGAATCCATCCTCTAATGTAAACGTAAACTTCTTGATTTTTCCTCCACGCGGTTGTTTTTTCAATAATCCCTTTGCGTGCCGTCACTATACGGTTCAGCTTTGTGTTCCCTGCCATTCAACAGTTGTCGTCGCTTGAGATGCTGCAGTAGCAGCCATGTTCTGCACGACATTAATAAAAAGGTTAACACAATTAAAAATTGAACTTGCATGACACTATCAGCCTTTTTGATACCTTTTGTTGGCTTCACCCGCTAGAATATGGATAGACCTCCTTCAGATGCTTGTTAATCTGTACAACGTGTTTATTCCAGGTACACAGTCACATATTAGCACAGTTAGGGTCGCGATACAAGTACATCACATTATAAGAGATACGAACGGCATCGCTACGAGCTCAATCGACAAACGTACTCAAGCACGATCC